GAGGCTCCATCCTGCTTTTTATTCCCTGTTTCCAGCTTCGCAGCTGCTGTGTAAATTGGTCCCCTGTTCCCATGCTGTGCTCTTCAGGTGGAGACTGCTACAGGAATCTTTAGTCCATAGTTCACAAAGACTTTTATTAAGCAGCAGCTGACCATTTAAGAAAGACTTTCTGCTTGGTCTCTGGAAAGGGAGGCCAGAAAAATGGGCCTGTGAGCGGTCTCTACTGCTTTATACTCTGTGGGCTCCTACTGCTCTCTTAAATCTTCCTCTTAATTTTAATGTTTATAGTATCATTTATACTCCACTTTTCTCCCTAGTGGGGACCCAAAGTGATGCCTTCTCCACTTCATCCTCACACCAACCTTGTAAGGTAGGTAAGCCTAAAGGAGGGGAATTGAAAACAAATCAGCCAGTATCATAATGCCCCTGTATAAATCAATGGTGCGACCTCATTTGGGGTACTGTGTACAGTTCTCATCACCACACCTCAGAAAGGATATTATAGCATTGGGAAAAGTGCAGAAAAGGGCAACTAGAATGATAAAAGAGTTGGAGCACTTTCCCTATGAAGAAAGGTTAAAGCGCTTGGGGCTCTTTAGTTTGGAGAAACGACAGCTGAGGGGTGACATGATTGAGGTTTATAAGATTATGCATGGGATAGAGCAGGTAGAGAAAGAGGTACTTTTCTCCCTTTCTCAGAATACAAGAACTCGTGGGCACTCCATGAAATTGCTGAGCGGTCGGGTTAGAACGGATAAAAGGAAGTACTCCTTCACCCAAAGAGTGATTAACACATGGAATTCACTGCCACAGGAGGTGGTGGCGGCTACAAGCATGGACAGCTTCAAGAGGAAATTAGATAAGCATATGGAGCAGAGGTCCATCAGTGGCTATTAGCCACAAGGTATAGATAGGAACTCTCAGTCTGGGGCAAGGGATGCTCTGTGTTCTTGGTGCTTGGGGGGGGGGGGCAACAGTGGGAGGGCTCCTAGTGTCCCGGCCCCACTGCTGGACCTCCTGATGGCACCTGGTACTTTTGGCCACTGTGTGGCAGAGTGTTGGACTGGATGGGCCATTGGCCTGATCCAATATTGGCTTCTCTTATGTTCTTATGTGTATAACTGGGGATTTGAACCTGCGTCTATGAGATCTAACCTGACATTCTAACTGCTACACTACTTGCTTCGTCCTGCTACTTACTCATTTCAATGTTTCTTTAATGGATCAAAATCAAACAGGAGTCGGGTGGGGCACCTGAAAGAACAACCACCTCGATTCCAACTTGAGCTTTTGTGAATCAGAGCTCGCTTTTTTGGATACAGATGTCATATGTGTCACTAAAAATACATCGATCTTGGCTTTGCAGGAGGTCACAGATCTGGCTCTTCCCTCTACAGAATAATCTGAATGAGGAGGAAGGCCATCCACTGGTCCAGGTGAAGGCTCTTGGGAGAGGGAGAGCCGGGCTCAGCTGTTCCTGGAGCAGGAAAAGGCCTTGATGCCGCCGGGGCCGGGAGCAGAAGGGAGCTGTGGGAAGGAACCATTCAGAAGAGCCTGGGGGACCGCGCCCTCCCTCCAGATGTGCAGCGCCAGCTGTTCCGGCAGTTCTGCTACCAGGAGGCGGAGGGGCCCCGGGAGGTCTGCAGCCAACTCCACCATCTTTGCCGCCAGTGGCTGAAGCCGGAGAGGCGCAGCAAGAGGGAGATGCTGGACCTGGTGGTCCTGGAGCAGTTCCTGGCCGTCCTGCCCCCGGAGATGGAGAGCTGGGTGAGGGAGTGTTGGCCGGAGACCAGTTCCCAGGCGGTGGCCCTGGCAGAAGGCTTCCTCCTCAGCCGGCCAGAGGAGAAGAACCAGGACCAGCAGGTGAGAGGATTACATCTTCGTAGTGTGTGGGGAGGGGGGCACAGGAGATGATGAAGGATACCATCGAAGTTGACATAGATGGACCTTAATTTCTGAAACCCACCACCTCTTCCTTTTCTCATCGGTCTCCCCTTTCTGGGATCCCCACCTCTGTTTCAGGTGCAGGAGAAGATCGCGCAGGAGTGTTATCCCCGACCCCCTCTTCCAGGTAAGATCGAAAGGGGTGTTGTTCCCTCTGTGTGGCCTCCTTGAGTCTAAGGGGGCCCCCTGCTTTTATGCCCTCCTGGCTCTTTGTGGGGAAAATGCTCTGCTCCAGGTTCTCAATTCAAAAATTCAACAGCACAAGGAGTGTCCAAAACCTCAAAGGGATGGTGATGGAAGGTGGCTGTTGGGTACTTTCAACATTATGATTGCTCTGACCAGCTATTCAGAGCCAGGGTAGGAAACGTTTTGTCAAAAAATGGTCTTGGATCATCCTGTAAAGACCCATGTCTGGTAGTATAATGTCACTGGGGACCTCGTTCTTTATGAATATGATATTCTGTGGTTATTATTACTAATACAATTATATTTATTATTAATACTGCTACTAATATTTTCATTTCTACTCACCTTTCTAACGAGCACTCAAGGCAGGATATACGAATGATTAAAAGACACTTCAGTCAATCCATAAGCAGATTCAGAGATTGGATTACATCAGGCAGGCAGTGACTTAGAAGATAGGATATTTAAGAACAAAGTTTCCTACAAAGACGAAATCATGTATTTGGGCTAGGATTGTAGACCAGGGCAGAAACCAAAAGTAGGCATGCAGCTATAATCGAGATGATGTGTCAGTGGCATCTCTCACCCTGTCATGTCAAGAAGGGTACCTGTTTGTGCTTCACCCGTAGCGAGGCTGCCTTTTCCAAGTTTTCTGGTCTTGCCCACAGGCAAAGAGATTCTGGGATTGGCTAGCTGCATTTCTGCCTTGGTTTAGCGCTGCCTGTTCCATACAATTCATGGTTCTTTGTTCTTAGTCCTGTGAATTCTGGACAAACAGACCATAGTTTTCTGTATGACAACCGTCTCAAGACTGGATTTCTGAAAAGTGTGGAAGGAAAAAAATTATCCAAAAATAAGGATAGTTGGAACCAGTGTTCCCTCTAAGCTGTGTTAGTGTGAGCTAGCTCACAGTTTTTTAGCCTCCAGCTCACACGTTGGTCTCAGCTCAGGAAGGATGGCTCCAGAACAAACTAATTTATGCAGTAGCCAAATTGCTCGCTCACAGCTTTAATGCCAGTAGCTCACAAAGTAGAATTTTTACTCGCATGACTCCGCAGCTTAGAGGGAACATTGGTTGGAACCATGGTTACAAACTCAACTCAAAAGTCATTCAAGAAGAGCAGACCCTCACTGCTGTGAACGAAGCTTTACTTCATTTAGAGATCTTGTGGCAGGTGACCACATATTTTTTTCACACTGTGACACCTGTGTCTTCATCACTCTCCGAACCAGGCAGTAGGGCACTGCATTCTCACTGGATCCAGTGGGCAGGGCAAATGAGTGCTGAAGATGTCTCTTTTATTTGTGACCCTGCCTTTAGAGAACCATGAGCCAAGACAGGGAGAATCTTATTTCCCCCCCAATGGAACTGAAATGCAAAGCACTCGGGAAGTACCGAATGCCACACAGTTACCCTTTTCTCCTTCCAGGTGGTGCCATAAAGCCAAGGATACGTTCTTTGCCACCTCTTTCTGGCAAAGGGAAAGCCTCTTCCGTGCAGCCTGATGAGGTACGTGTGGAGCTACGGATCGTGCCCCCGGGTGCTTCCCCCACCCTCCCTAGGCCAAGGGGGACTCTCTTTCTGTCTCCTTCCCTCGGCTGCTCTCTGTGCTGCTCCCTGGGTAGAAAGTGAAAGCATCTGACGGCGGGCTGAGTCCTAATCATCAGCATCCTCTTATTTATTTATTTATTTATTTATTTATGTATTTAAATAACCCAATTGAATCTTTTTAGGTTGCCCGTAGAAAGGGAAGGATTCTTACATTCTCTGTAAAGATAGTGGGTGTGTTCTCCCCCCCCCCCCCCCCCTTTTTCTCGGTGCGGTGCTCTCTGTGTTCCCCCCCCCGTCTTTTCAGGGCCTGGTGACCTTGGAGGAGGTGTCTGTTCATTTCACTGCAGAGGAGTGGGCTCTGCTGGGTCCAGACCAAAGGAGGCTTCACAAGGAGGTCATGGAGGAGAATCGTCGGAATGTGGCCTCCCTGGGTAAGGCTCCCCTTTCTCTTGATTCAGAGATGTTGATAGCAAAAGTTACTCCTTCCAAGACGGGCCCCAGGTCTAATCTGGATGGCCCAGGCTGCTCCGATCTTGCAGCTCTGAGAAGTTAAGCAGGGTCGGGCCTTACTGGAGTCTCTAAATATTAGTGTGTAAGCGAAAATATTGGTTTGTAAATGCAAAGGAACACAGCAGAAGACATCCCCCAATGGCCCACGGTGGACTGAGCGGGCTCATTGTTCGTCTGCAGTGCAAAATCTTGAGTGCAGATGAAAATCCATTGAAAGCAGGCCAGGAGGGGGATTGACCACTATAGGATGTCGATGGGGCCTCCACTTGGGCCTTTCAGAGCAGCCATGGAAACAAGCATTTTAAATAACAAATGATAATAATATTAATCAGAAATAAAAATTATATTTGTATAGGGTCCTCCATACTCTGCCTCTAAACAAGGAGGTTCCAGTGGTCCACCTCCAAGGAAGAATCAAGAGCTGATTACTACAGGGCAGGATTTGTTTCCCCATCAAGTGATTTCTGTTCTGTCATGATCAAGAGCAATCAGTGGCCTTCTTGACTTGCTTCCACTTTTGCCTGAATGTTTTACGTGTCTTTTCTCTTTATTCTAGAGGCTGATAGGCTTCGGAATAAGTCCAAGGGAGAACCACAACACCGTGTACTTAAGGAAAAACAGCAGAAAAGGATAAGTCGAACAAAATGGAAGGGGGAGAATGAATCTTCTCCTCAGGGTGCTGAATTTCAGGTGTTTGATAGACACCAAAGAATTCACACAGGGGAGAAACCTCATCAATCGTTGGAGTGTGGAAGGAGTTCTGCTCAGAATTGCATCCTTCATCAACAAGTCATCAGAGAGGAGAAATCATATAAATGCCTGGAGTGTGGAAAGTGCTTTTCTCAGAGTGACACCTTATCTGCTCATCAACGAATCCACACTGGGGAGAAATCCTATAAATGCCTGGAATGTGGAATGAGCTTTGCTCAGAGCTCAAGCCTTCTTACCCATGAACGTATCCACACTGGGGAAAAAGAATATAAATGCCTGGAGTGTGGAAAGAACTTTCTTCGTGGTTCAGACCTTACTGCCCATCAGCGTATCCACACTAGGGAGAAACCATACAAATGTCTGGATTGTGGAAAGAGCTTTCCTCGTGGTTCAGAACTCACTGTCCACCAACGTGTCCACACTGGGGAGAAACCATATAAATGCCTGGAGTGTGGAAAGAGTTTTGCTCGCAGTTCACAGCTTACTAAACATCAGTATATCCACACAGGGGAGAAACCATATAAATGCCTGGAGTGTGGAAAGAGCTATGCTCAGGGTGCTATTCTTACTATCCATCAACGAATCCACACAGGGGAGAAACCATATAAATGCCTGGAGTGTGGAAAGAGCTTTGTTCAGAGCTCACAACTTAATCTCCATCTACGTATCCACACTGGGGAAAAACCATATAAGTGCCTGGAGTGTGGAAAGAGCTTTGTTCAGAGCTCACAACTTAATCTCCATCTACGTATCCACACTGGGGAAAAACCGTATAAATGCCTAGAGTGTGGAAAGAACTTTGCTCGGAGATATCACATGATTTCTCATCAACGAATCCACACAGGGGAGAAACCATACAAATGCTTGGAGTGTGGACAGAGCTTTCCTCAGAGTTCACAGCTTACTACGCATCGATGTATGCACACTGGGGAGAAACCATATAAGTGCCTGGAGTGTGGACAGAGCTTTTCTTATCATTCTGACCTTACTGCCCATCGACGTTTCCACACAGGGGGGAAACCGTATAAATGCTTGGAGTGTGGGAAGTGTTTTCCTCGAAATTCACAGTTTACTAAACATCAGCGTGTTCACACTGGGGAAAAACCATATAAATGTTTGGAGTGTGGAAAGAGCTTTGCTCAGATTTCACAACTTACTAAACATCAACGTAGCCACACAGGGGAGAAACCATATAAATGCTTGGAGTGTGGGAAGAACTTTGCTGAAAGTTCAGAACTTACTAAACATCAACGTAGCCACACAGGGGAGAAACCATATAAATGCTTGGAGTGTGGAAAGAGCTTTGCTCAGAGTTCAAACCTTAAATCCCATCAACGTATCCACACAAAGGAGAAACCACATAAATGCTTGGAGTGTGGAAAGAGCTTTGCTTGGAGTTCACGTCTTACTAAACATCAACGAATCCACACAGGGGAGAAACCATATAAATGCTTGGAGTGTGGAAAGAACTTTGCTTGGATTTCAAGCCTTACTGCCCATCAAGGAATCCACACAGGGAAGAAACCATATAAATGCTAGGAGTTCACACATCTCTCATATCAAAGAATTCACACAAGAAGAGAAACCATGCAAATATTTCTACTGTTGCATGATCTACAGCCTCAAGCCGAAGCTTACTGGGAATGATCATCTGGAGATTTTGTGTTAAATCAAGACTTTATTATATAATGTTAAACTGCTATTGGTTAGGGCATGTTGAGTTCTCAGATAAAAGATTTGTAATACAAGTTAGTATAAAATATGAGTTATTTGTCCTACAGCGTCTTGAGGAGGGTTGTCACAGACTTTTAGTATTAATAGTCTGTTTGTAAGGACTAGGTTCGCAGCTCCACTTGCTCCACTGACCATATTTAATGACAGTTTGACTAGTCATTGTGCAGTTCTTTCTCTTGCTGAAACAGCCTAAAGAAATTCAGTCTTTGGCACCACATACATCTGTGAACGAACTTTTTCCATGATGGAAATTGTGAAATCCAAGCATACTTCAAGACTTACAGATGAATATTTACATGACATTTTAAGGGTGCCTTTCACAAACCTTGACTTGGACATTAATGCCTTGGCTAACAGAAAACAGCCACAAATCACATTTACTAGGTAAGCACGTGTACCTAGATAAAAGGATTCCACAGTAAAATATTGTTCCAAAATGGATTGTGTTAGAGGTCACATTTCTTCATTGATGTCTTAATGTTTTGATGTAAATAGGTAGGTTAATAATGTTGTTACATTTTGATTTAAGATGTGGCCCTCGTTAGGCATTGTGCACTCTAATGCGGCTCCGTGTTTCAGAAGTTTGGGGACCCCTGTCTTAGAGCCCAGTCAGGCACTTCAAGCACTACACCAACCTGACTCTGCCAGTTCTGAAGCTGTTGTCTAAAGGAGGAGATTTTTCCATCCTCCTTGTTTGTGTTGCCGGCCCACGAGCAACTGGTGTGAGGTAAAGAAGGCAGGAGGCTGTTCAGGGTGGAGGTGACCAGGTAGGCAGGTGTATGCTGTGTGTTGTGTGTGTATGGTCAAAGTGGTCAAGAAATAAAAAGGAAATGGCTAGGGGGTGGGGCTCAGAGGCTGAGGTAAAATAGTGTGTGTGTGGGAGAATAGCAGTGAAGATGGAGAAAGGAGTGGTGGTGTTTTGCCCCTCCTCCCTGATGTTGCCTCCTAGTTCTGGGATTCAGAGGTTTAGTCCCTCTGAATACGGAGGTTCTCTTTAGTCACCATGGCTAGTGCTCAAAAAGCCACTAAATAGGGGGCGGGGCTGAGTGGCTGGCACCACCACATCAACCAGCTTTGTGATTTTTCAAACGGCGACCATGAGGGGGGTTGGCGAGAGTGGGTGCGCAGACCGGTGGTTTGCTGATGAACAAGCAGGGCCGGTGGGGGAAGAGAGGAGGAGGGGGAGGAGGTCCAGGGCGTGAATTGGGAGGCAACTGGGCTGTCTTGTGCATGCCGCTCTGAGGGGAAAGACATCCTAGCCTTGGAAGCAAGTGGAGGAGAGAAGCGGAAAAGAGGGTGGCTGCTGTTGCCGCTGCCTGACTGAACAGCTGCAGAGGTGGGAGGCAGAGTGTTCGGGTGGGCAGGGGCCAGCGACCTCCCCACCTGTTCTCTGCCCATGAGGGAAAGGGGTCACGGGAGGACGAAAAGTGCCTCCTGGAGGTTTCAGAAACAGCCTTCCCCTTAACCCCACTGCTCCAGTGGGAAAGGCAGGAAGGATGAGAACTGGGAGTAGGGGGATCGGTATGAGCCAGGCTCAGACTCGCCCCCTCCTCCTGAGCCAGGATCCCGTCATCTGGATCAACCGGGGCCAGTCGGTCAGCCTGGCCCACCTCTGTTCGGTGTGGAGGGGGAAGTTCGGTGTGCCTCTTCAAGATCCTCAGAGGTAGGGCGGGGAAGGAGAGAAAACAAAGAGCGAGAGATGTATCATAACCATGCTCAGCTGCTGAGGCTGGGCGTATGGGGGTAGTGCTCAAAAACGACCTCATTTACTTGCAAGGAAGACGGCTCATCTCCTAAAGATGCTACATATAGGGTGCATTCAGGCGGGGCGTTTCAGCTGGCATAAACTGCACCGGTTCCAACCGGTGCAGTTTATGCAGGCTGAAACGCGATCACACTTACCTCCTGTCTGCGGAGTCCATCGCTGTATGCCCATTCACACACAGTGGGCGTCGGCGGTTTTTTTTAACTCAGTTTGCGCATGCGCATAGGCAGCCATCCACAGAATGGCGATCTTCGCGCATGCGCAAAACACCCCGTCCAGAAAAGCATGCCCTGAAGAGAGGACTTACTTTTAAAGTTTAAAGAGCAAACTGTCCTCCCTGAGGTCCCAGACTCCTCTAAAACCTTAAACTAAGGACCTTTTCTTTTCTTTTAAAAATAAACGCCGGGGCAAAGCTTCGCCCAAGCGCATATCGCCGACCTAACAAAAAAATGGCGGGCGAAAAGCGGAAGCCTTAGGCTTCCGAACGGAAGTGGCTCTACAACGGTGGAGAGCGATCAGATGGGGGGTAAAGCAGTTACAACCGGCGCACTCAGGAGGATACCACCACCTGGGGACCTAGTAGCAGAATACAACGGTTTAAAGTTCTTTGCAACGGTTAGGGATGGAAGGCAGATGTTCTCCGTGTGAACGCTGGTAAGTACACCGATTCCAACTGGCACCTATACCATTGTAAATGCCCCGTCTGAACGCACCCATGTAGTTTTAGTTGAGGCAGCAGGCATCCCTCCTCTATTGGGCCTCCCCTTCAGCGGGTCAGATCTGTGTTACCATCTGGGAGCCCCAATCTGAAATAGACCTCATTTGTTCTTGTATTATATCTGATGTACGTCATTTGTATATTATATTTGATGGAACCCGCCCCGAGCCTGCTATGCAGGGAGAGTGGGATACAAATCTAAATAAATAAATATCTAATTTGAATAGACATGTAAGATAACCCCCCCACTGATGATATCCCTTGGGAAAAATCCTAAGCTTGCATATGATTAAATACATTTATTGGGGCTTTTGTGGGTTCCCCAGTAAATCAACTGCTTTCGCTCCTAGCAATCAATTGCTTTTGTTTGTATTTTGAGTTTTAAAAAAATATCATTAAGTGGGTTTGCCTGTGTCCTTTACAAAGTTTATACCTCCGGTACCTGGCATTACATTTTATGACACACATGGCCCAGCCTGACAAACTTGCATTTATGTCAGATCCAGGCTTCATAACAATTGAGTTCGACACCTCTGATTCAGTTTTCAACTAAAATATCTGGAATACAAGTTATTATAAAATCTGAGTTATTTATCCCATCCTGTGAACACATCTTAGGAAGGAGTGTCAGAGGCCTTTAGGACTAATAGATGATGTTGTTTAGGACTAGGTTCTCCGCCCCTCTTGCTCAATTCACTATATTTAACTTTACTATTGATTGAGCAGTCCTTAACTCCATCCAGCATCCTGTCTCACACAGTGGCCAACCAGTTCCTCTGCAGGTCCAACAACAGCGCACAGAGCCTGAGGCCTTCCCCTGATGTTGCCTCCTGGCTCTGGGATTCAGAAGTTTAGTCCCCCTGAATACGGAGGTTCTCTTTAGTCACCATGGCTAGTAGCTACTGATGGACTTCCCTCCATGAATCTATCTGAAACGACCTAATATAGGAAATCTAATTAGTTCCTAGGATTGCTTAAGTGCCCGCCTAAACCTGCATCCGGGCTGACCAGGGTCACACAGAACACTAGCCAGCTCTCCTGTAATGCCAGAGACTCCTCCTTCCAAAGCAGCTGTTTCCTCCAGGAACCAGGCTCAGTGCTTTTCCCCAGCGCGACAGGGCCTTAACTTTCGAATCGATTCCAGTAGACCCCCAGCTGATCCAAGAGGGTTGGTAACCCTAAGCAGAGATGGCAGGAACTTCATGGGAAACTCTTTCAATGGCTGAACAGGCCTCGTTCGACAGTGGCGATCCCCGCGAGCCGAATACTTGATCTGCTTCTCCGTCGAAGCCTCAGACGGAGGTCATTCATATCACCTACATCAAAATGATCCCAGAACTGGAGATGCCAAGGATTGAACCTGGGACCTTTTGTGTGCCAAGCAGATGCCCTGCCACTGATCCACGGACCCAGGTCTGCGAGGGAGGAGGAATGTGGAACTTCCATCAGGGTCTCTGAGAATGTGCATGCCTGAAACGGTGTTGCATTCTATACAGGAAAGTAACCTGATAAACAGGATACCCCTTCTTAAAGGGGGGGGGGGCAGCCCTGGAGGTTTGTTTTAAAAGGAGGTAAGAAGGGACAATCAGTTCCCTGTTTGCAGCCAGTGATTGCAAAGGGGTGGGTGTCTTATCCTTCCGAAATTAAACAATAATCCAGTGTTCAAAATTTAAGTTATGGTGAGCCAAAAGTAGCAGGTGTTGGAGCTACCCAATTGCTACCCAGAAGCTTATCTATATCCTCAATGCAATGCTTAGGGCAGACGCCTGGGAAATGCCTTAGGTGGCTCAAGCCAGTGAGCCCAGCCAGAAGCTTCTCTATATCCTCAGTGCAATGCTTAGGGCAGACGCCTGGGAAATGTCTTAGGTGGCTGAGGCCAGTGAGCCCAGCCAGAAGCTTCTCTGTATCCACAATGCAAAGCTTAGGGAAGATCCCAGGAGATCTCCAGCCACCACTTGGAGGTTGGCAACCATGGCTGATGTAAAGGAAATGCTCGAAGCCCGACCAGAAGTTTCTCCGCCTCCCCAGCTTCATTTCAAGGGAACAGGAGACGGTATTACGGCCATCGATACAGGGGTTGCTCCGTATTCAAAGACTCCACATTCGCTTTCGTCCTCCCTCCCCTTCTGAACCTACAGCGGGCTTCCTAGAGGGCATAAGGAGCCCAAACTGGGATGGAAGGGTGTGTGTGTGTCGAATCCTCTCGTCCCTTGGCCAAAAACTGGAGTGAAACCGGAGTGGCGCCGGCTGGGTCAG